GAAAAACAAAAATATAATATAATCTATGATAAATTAGAAGTCTTAGGTAAAGATTCAAAGATTAAAAAACTACAGGTAACAGTATGAAACAACAATATCATGTCAGCTTTAATGAATAATAGTATATTATTATATTGTTTTAATAGATTCAAAAGGAAGATTATGATCATAAATGCAAATTACTAAATAGACAATCAACGTTGCTTTGCAGACGAGTAAGAAATGATTTTAAGAGAATGGAGTGCATGAAAAAAAGTACGTATTACCTTATCATTTAAAAATTTGTTAAATATAATATAAATGTTGTCAATCATTGCTTATTTTTATTTTTACCAGACATCTGGAGAGCAAATAAAGTTTTTGAAGGCGTGGAACAAAAAAATGATGAATTACGAAATAAGACTGAACAGGCTGAGAAATTAGAGGAATCTATGAAAACGCAATTAGAATTTAATATCAAATGCCAAAAACGTCAACAATTAGAAGCTAACCAAATGAAAGCTACTATTGAAGAGGTAAAACAATTTTCTCAGAATAACCTGGAGTGATTGACTTTCTTTCCGTATTTAATACATTTTAGTATTATACATTAATACAATGTTTTCTTGTTGAAAATAACTATTTACTCATACATTTTGTACGTAATATTACTTAAATAAAGTGTTCATTTGAGTATGTTATACTTTAGTTTGAGAAAAAAATCCATAAAATGCAAGAAGAGTTGAATAATACGAAACAAAAAAACAATGAATTGACAAACGCAGTCGCACGATTTCAGACGTCAAGCGAATTTGATAAGAAAATTCAATCGAAAAATTTTAACGAAACAAAAATTGAAATCGGAAAATTGGCAGTTGAAAATAAAAAATTAACGTAATTAGTATAATTTATGTTTAATATTGTTTTTATAAGAAAGATGAAATAATATTATATTTGAACAGCTAATTAAGTAACAATCGAATGCATATCTATTTTTAGATTTGAAAACAAATGTCTTTCGAAGTTGAAGGACGAAAATAAATTATTACAATCCAGATTAATGACTGGAGAACGGAATTTGTTATACCTTCAAACGAAATTTGATAAATTGTACAACGAGAAACAACGCCAGATAAATGCATCGAGAATACCCAAGTAATTAAAAATATGTCTTATAATATCCTAAATTATAAATTGCATTGTTCAATGTGTGTTGCAGATTGTAGTTGCATAGAAGATAAATGTCTCTTTTCCAGTGTTGTTCAAGCACAAAATGTCCACGGTCTTAGAATATACATTACTTATTGTTATACTTACATTTAATAACATAATAAACGTACATATAAAAAAATGCTTTTGAATTTACTATATTGAACGAGTAACTACCTATAACATAAGTTTGGCTTGTTTTAAACTTCTTAAATTAATTATACGAGTATGTTGTTTATTCATCGATTGGACATTTGAGTTCAGATGTGTTAAAACGAAAGACGGCGTGATAGATGTTTAAGGTATTTTGTTAGGACGATGAAAATAATAGAATCCATAAAAGATTTTTAAGAGCAATTCGACGGTAGTTGCAATCATAATAAACTAAACAGTGTAGTTAAATTAAATATGTATATTACTCTATGTTGAGTTAAAAGTCTATATAAAGTCTAATATAGCTATAAGTGACATGAACTATTGACAAGATACGCGAGTATTTCTACTCCTATTCCTATAATAGGAACCAATGACAATACGATGCTGTTATAAATACATATGATCCATTATCCAAGTTGCAACAATTAATGTTGAATACGGTTAAATGCTTTTAAGTATATGTTCAACAACAACTATTTGTAATATTGATTGTTATAAGGGCAGTTTCAAAAACAAACACACATTATTTTGGAGTTTGGTTCACTGATTTAGAGCCCCCGACAAATAGGCTGAAGTAATAAAATTGAAAAAATCCAAAGACCTTTTATTAGAACGATAGCCTTTGAATTAAATGTGTGTGATTTACCTATTGCCGAAGACGAGACCTATATAAAATATCCCCTTTAAAAAAAAGGAGTGATAACGTCTTTTTTTTATATAAGCTATTAAATAGTACTGTCAACTGTCTTGAGCTCTTGAGTCTCAGTAGCTTTCACCCTTAGTTACTACTAAAAATAATTCTGCAATTTTATTCTCCATTGTCGTCCCATCAGTAGAATTCTAAATTATTGAAACAATAGACTATCTGACGTTGATTTCTTTTTTCGTTGATAATAATTTATTGTAAGTTGAAAGAAATGTACTTGTATACTAGTCTTATACTCATACTTATTATGTTATTTCCAACTTAACTAACTGTATTCCTTGCATATTCGAGGACATCTCTTCTTTTTAAAAAAATAAACTAAAATTCTTTAGAATTTGTAAACCATATAAAAGTTCAAAACTGCATTTACATGCTTAAAATAAACATGCTTTAAAAAAAATGATATAGCTAAAATTTAAAATAAAATTATTAATTATATATATTAGATTCTGAGTGTTGCGATGAATATATTGATTTTACAACGGTGTGTGTTTTTATATATATTTTTTTTTGTGCCTATCATCACGGTTTCTTGCAGTGAAAGTGCTTCGATTTTCTTCAACAGCAACTTTTGTGGCAGTAAAGTGAATTTAGTTGGTATATTCGGGAGGTCAAATTTTATAATTCTCAATAGTTGTCACACGCAACAGGAAAAAAAATCAAGAAAGTCAAATTACATTTTTATGAGCGTTTCCCAGAAAACGTTCTCACATTTAAATGTTATTTGTCAAATACTTGCTAGTTTTTTTCAAAATATTGTACATTATTTCTATAAAGCTTTATTTACTTTTGCAAATATCAACCGAATGTTTGACAAATTTCATTTGCACCAGATCATGTTATTCATTACAAAATTGAACACAAACTTTGGTCAAATATTAGTTAAAAATTATACAATATTTTAAAATTAATTGCCCCGAAAAAGTTATAACATTTAAATGTTATTTTGTAAAATATTTGCTTATTTTTTTAATAACTGTTCAATATTCTTATAAAATTGTATTTACACTTGAAAACATCAATTTCAATGTATGACAAACTTCATTATGTGCTTCAAAAATTATGTTTTCAATTAGACACAAACTTTTGCCAAATATTTGTCAACAATTGTACATGATTTATAAAATCATTGTTCATGATTGGGTATCTATATATACTTGGGGTATATTAATATATTTTTCAGAAATAACCGAATGATAATTCGTAGGGACTACCGCTATTATATAAAGTATAAATATTGTCTACTTAATTTATTTAAATTTTTTTAAGTGATTTTGTTGTTTTTTATTTAACTAAAGTTAAATAGGCTAATCTTTAGATACAATGTATACATTATATTTTATAGTATAAGCATAGTTTTTGACATTAGTTATTTATTAATTATTTTATTAATTTTAACTAATATTACTTTACATAAAATTAATCTTATTTTACATAATGTATATTATGTACAATATACACATACACTTACCACATTTTTGACATTTATTTATTTATAATTTCTTGATTAGTAGATATAAACATGATACAATCAATATTAAAATAAATACAATTTGATGTATATTATGTCTGTGTTACTGCTGATGGTTGGTCTGTCTACAAAAGGCAAATTTAAAAACAAAATACAATTTTACATTTAAAATGTTACTTAAACTGTTATTATTAATATGTTTTCAGAAGCTACATTGGAATGACGGTTCATTGGATCAACTACAAAACCTTATTACGAGAGTCTGTAGTTTTAGCATGTAAAAGAATTAAAGGAAGGCACACAAATGATGTCATTACAAAATTGATTTGTGAAGTATTCTGTGAATATGGAATTACAAATAAAGTTACAAGAGTGGTGACAGATAATGTATTCAATTTTGTTAAAGCATTTCGGTAAGCATAATCTTTTTAACTGTGTTGTAAATTGTAATGCCATCTTGATTGTTTCAATTTGACATTAAAATAATTTATTAAAAACTCATATACTACTTTTAATTTATA